AAACTACTCTCAGGGACAAATTGCTCTGTCCATTCCAACTTTAGTTTGAATATGGCTTACGGTGGCTGCAGTAGCTGGGCCCTAATGGACCCGGGCCCACCATCCACTGGCCACTCTGTGTTTCTAATTCCAAATTCCCAAGGGAGACGCTCTACCTGGTCCTCACTCTCGGAGCCAGCTCCCACTCCCACACATCACGGACAGGCAATGGATGGGCCACCCTTGGGCCAATGTCATATAGGCTATACGTTATTTTTTTCCAAGGACACCAGTTGAACTGGTGACCTCATTTTTAACTTGGTCATTTCTGTCAATGCCCTATCTCCAAATAAAGTCACATCCTGAGGTACAGGGGTTAACACTGACTGCAGCATATCCTTTTTGGAGGGACACAATCCAACCCATAACAGACTGCAACAAGGTTTGGGGTTGGGTGGCAAACATGTCCCGTCTTCCTACAGCCCACCCCTTGATTGCCCGTTGCACATATGTTCTATTCCATTTCTTCAGTGCCATGAAGAAAAGCAAGGAAAATCCAACATCAACCATGGTGGGTACAATCACAAACATATCGTCTACTTCCCACTTCCCAGAGGGAGGCCCCAAAGTTAGCTCCACCCACCAAATCTGTATTCAAAGGTATGGGGCCGGGGTTGTGGCTCACTGGTAGAGTGCTTGCCTAGCAGGCATGAGGCACTGGGTTCAATCCCTGGCACCACATAAAAATGAACAAATAAAAGAAAAGTATTGTATTCAAAGGTATGAGGTACCTTAGCTGGTCTCCGAATTCCCAATCTCCAAATAAGACTGACTCCTTCTCTGGGTGTTTCCATCTCACTCATGTGTGACTCCTCCCACTGTGATCTGTGTCTAAATGCTGAAAACTCGACCACCCTCAGTATGTCCCATACGCAGAGTGGGAACCCCTGGTCTTAACCTAGAGCCTGCACATAACAGCACCCGTTGCTCTGGGGGCAATAATAGCGTGTCTATGCTACACACCATTTTAACCCTCAGAGAAGTAATGTCACCTTCCCTGAGTCACACAGCTCATGAGGGTGAGAGCCTGAAATCAGCAGCCCACATCCACTGTGGTGTGTGGTGTGTGGTCTCTGAGTTACCACGTGAGACGCATTCTGTTTGGGCAAGTGGAGGGAGGATTGGTTCTGTAGCAATGAGGAAGGAAACTTATCCTTATCACTTGCAGGTAATGAGGTTTATAATAAGATTGAGGATCTCGGGTGCATGAGCTGAGTTAGAAATGGACGTGGCCTCCCCAGTTCCTTTCATTCAAGCCAAAGGGAGTTGGAGAGAACTGTACCACCCAAGGGTCTGGTTGGGCCCAACACTTGGGAATGACCCCAAGGGCCCAGACTGAGCTGGACTCAGTTCAAATCTAGGTAGCTGGTTGACAAAGCCGAGGGCGATTCTGGGTTCACTTATGTGACCTTAATGGGCTCTGAGGTTTTGAGTAACTTGTAAATCAGAAGCAGGGATACAGCAATGTTAGCTTCTCTGCCGACTTTTATTAGCTAGACTAAGCCTAAAGACCACATCTGTGACCATCCAGCAGCTTGGCGGTTTCAATCAGGTCACAACCTGCTTGTGTTGGCTCTGGAGTCCTCTCATGGCCCTGTGGCTTAGTGCTCTGATCAGGAAGGCAGGCCATGGCCAAGTCCGCAGGAGCCTTCTGTCTCCACCTACCTCTGTGCGAGTCTCCAGGAAATGCTGCCATTAAAGCTTGCTGGTGAGGAAGAGTCTTAGGAGGGACTGGGACCCCCATGTACTGGGGAGGAGCCAGAGGTGAGAGGAGGTGGCAAGGCCCCTGGAGTACTCGGAGCCGGGAGACCCTGGCGCCACTGACTCCTCCCAGATGTCTCCGTTCCCATTACTCAAAACCTAATAATCTTCACCAATTAGTGACCACACCTGACTTTGCGACTACACAGCACCAAGGGTGTTTCCGCTGACTGCAGAAGCCCATCAATCATTCATAGGCAGAACCATGAGCTATACAAATGTGTCAACAGTGACGGTGCTTGATGACCAGCTGCTTTTGTCAACTGGCTTCTAGTCACATAATGGGACCAGAATCGTCACGCTTCTTACAGCTGCTCTACTCCTGCTCCAAAACCACGTCAGCAAAGCCTCATCCTCTGGGGGGCTGTAACTTATCTCAGGGCATCTCAGGCAACAGCTTCATAACTGCTTCACTCTACAGACACTGGCTCGAGTTTTCCACCCCAGAATAGGAGCCCTCACTGCTTTCCACCTCCGATGATACTACAGTGGGTCCCAGTGACAGAAGTCACTCCTATGGAACCACCCCACTCCTGGAAGTCACTTCTGTTGCAACCAGAGCTGAAAAGAACAGGCGAGCTGCACACTGTGGTGCAGGCCTGTGATCCCAGAGCTTTGGGAGGCTGAGACAGAAGGACTGCAAGTTCAAGGCCAGCGTTAGCAACTTAGCAAGATCTTGTCTCAAAAATTGAAAAATAAGAAGGACTGGGGCTGTGGCTCAGTGGAAGAGTGCCCCTAGGTTCAATCCCCAATACGACAGAAAGAAAGAAGGGAGAGAAGAATGAAAGAAAGGTTTTAAAAAAGAGAAAATAATAGAAATGAAAAGAAAAAAACAAAAAACATATCTGTACTCAAATACAAGGCGGTGTTCGGGGATTTCTTGGCTGCACTGAGGTTTTGCTGTTCAGGCATCTTGCAGTTCCTGGTGCCCCCTTGGAGCCTGTAACTTCCCCAACTCAGCCACTCCGCACCCTATTCCTTCTCTCAATATCATTGGCCAACTGTCTTCAGGGTATTTTAGTAAAAATACCCAAGAGAGAGAATTTGATTGGCTCAACTCATCTTTTAAAGAAAGCCAGCCTACAATTCGTAGCCAGGGCCGATGAGTGGAGAGGCCAGCGTGGGGCCACGTGTCCACCTCCAGTTCAACTGGCTGTGACAGGGATGGAGGGGCCGTCAAGAAGTTCAATCTCCTGAGTTGGACATAGGAAGAGCGTGCAAAAGATGGACATCTCTAGAAACTGGATCCCCAGTAAACTGTAGACACGTATACCTGTGCTCACCATTTACAGACGCCGACCACACACACGCAGTCTATCAGCACCCACCTTCAAACATACAAATAGACACACACAGTGCACAGACGACTTACATCTGTTTCACTTAAAATTTTTAAAGATATTTTTTTTAGTTGTCAATGGACCTTTATTTTATTTATTGATATGTGGTGCTGAGAATTGAACCCAGTGCCTCACACATGCTAGGCAAGCTCTCTACCACTGAGCCCCAGCCCCAGCCCACACTTAAAATTTTTGACTTTACAAAGGTGCAAGAGTCAGACATATTCAGCAGAAGCCATACTTGAATTTTGCTCTTTTCCCAGGCAGATATCTTGATCCTAGGCAGCAGCAGTGAGCCACAGCTCCAGCCAGCCACGCCATCATGGTGGTGATCAGCCAGTACTCCAGAATGTACTGTGCTGCTCAGCCGTGATGTGTGGTGGGTTAGGGGTATTCTGTGCTTTTTTTTTTTTGTACTGGGGATTGAACCCAGGGTAATTTATCACTAAACCACAGCCCCAGTCTTTTCATTTTTTTATTTTGAGAAACAGTCTTGTTAAGTTGCTGAGGCTGGCCTCTAACTGGCAATCCTCCCACCTCGACCTCCTGAGCCACTGGGATTAGAGGTGTGTGCCATCACGCCCAACTTTCACTGTGTTTTTGTATTATGATATTTTTAACTTAGAGTGGGCTTATTGGGATGTGACCCCATGGTAAGTGGAGCACCACTGTATACCCATACATACACACCCTCATCCATTTGTGCCATGTTCACGACCACCTATACATTACACACACCTGTATGCACACTCGCCCACGTACATACACAGTAGATGTACATCTATGCCCTGCAATGTACTTGCGTTTCTTCATATGCACAGAATTTCACATACACCTGTATGTGTACACAATGTACAGATACCCATAAGCACATACATGCAATGCATGATATCCAACTGTATACACACATCCATGGATAAATGCATGTATATACACACCTGCCCAAACACATTATGTTAGGTTTTCATCACCAAAATACCTGAAAAGGAGAACTTAGAAGAGGAAAGGTTTGCCGGGCACAGTGGCACACACCTGTAATCCCAGCGGCTCAGGAGGCTGAGGCAGGGAGATCATGAGTCAAAGCCAGCCTCAGCAAAAGTGAGGTGCTAAGCAACTCAGTGGGACCCTGATTCTAAATAAAATACAAAATAGGGCTGGGGATATGACTCTGCGGTCGTGTGCCCCTGAGTTCACTCCCTAGTACACACCCCCCAAAAAAAAAAGATGAGGAAAAGTTAATTTGGCTTATGGTTTCAGAGGTTCAGTTTGTGGTCAGGCGACTCCATCATTCTGGGCCTGAGGGAGTCAGAGCATCATGGCAGAGGGGCCTAGCGAAGAAAGCTGGTAGGAAGCAGAGAGGGACAGGAGGCTGAGTCAGGGCCAAAATATATAATCCCAAGTCATGTCCCCAGTGACCCACTTCCTTTAGTCGTGCTCCATCTGCCTACAGTCACCACGCAGTGATCCAGTCCAGTTATTAACCCATCCCTAGATTAATCCACTGATTAGGCTGCAGCTCTGGTAATTAGTCCTTTCACTTCCTGCATCGACACAGGAGCCTTGTGGGGACCCCTCATATCCAAACCACAACACGCATGCGCCGGACAGACACACCTGCCTGCACTTGCCCCGCTGTGCACTCGGGGAGCACAC